CCTGCTGAAGCACATGAGTTATACAGGCATTGGGTGAGCCAGGTCAGACTGACACAATTTCTCTTCTGGGCCTGTGCTGCACTTGGTGTGGGGGTGTGCGAAGCTGAAAGTAAAGCACTAGATTTTTTTTCCATGTCTGTAAGCAGCTCTAGTGAGAGAATTTTTCCTGGTATCTAACCTAAACTTCCCCTGCTGTAACTTGACACCATTGCTCCTCCTTCTGTTATTTGCCACCACTGAGAACTGTCTAGCTCTGTCTTCTTGGGAACCATCTTTTCAGGTAGCTGAAGGCTGTTATTAAATTTCTCTATTAACTTAAACAGTCAGTAGTTAGGGCACTAGCTCAGGATGTGAGAGACCAGGGTGAAGTTCCCTGCTACTTCCAGTGTCAGCTTGGGGCAAGTCAGGTTGCTTCTCTCTGCTACAGTTCACCTGCTCTAAAAATGGGGATGACAGTACATTCCTCCTCTGCAGAGAAGTTGTAAGGGAAAATTCATCAGCATGGGAGACACGTGATATTATGGTGGTATAAGTACTGATATATGTGTGCTAATACATTTCTTTAACCTTTGTTCCTGTTTTGTTTTACGCCTACTTAGGGCTCCTCTATGCAGGGAAGTTCCAGTGTAGGAAACTAGGATGTGATTTTACAGCAGACTAGCTACTCCACACAAATTCTCTGCGTGAATGCTCTTATGGGGTAATTAGCTCAAAATAGCTAGCACATTGTAAATTAACACCCTAGTTTATTGCACACTTTCTTGCATGTAAACCTAGCCTAAAAATTAAGTACAGTATTGCAGAAAGATCTATTGATTGGTCAGCAAGAGGCCTAAGTTCTCTTGTAAACTACAGAACAAGAGTGGATTAAAAAAAACCCCACAGAGAACTTTCCCCCATCATCCTAAAACACATTGTGAAAACCCAGCAGCCAGATTTGTGCATGTGTTTCTTTTTTAAAAAGAGGAATCACTTAAAGGAAAGGTGAAACAGCAGAATCAGATGGAAACCTACTGCGAGCTGGAAAATAAATATCTTTTAACTATTACTTTCCAAAGAGAACTGTGTTTGGATCACATTCTATTGGCTTGCTGAACTGTAATGTTTCTTTGAACAGTAATGTTTCAGTTGTGGCAAATAGCTCCGAAGAGGATATTGGATTGACTGCATTTCCAGTCGGGGGAAGTAGTGGGAGGCTTTACTTCACATAGACTGACTTAATTGGGAAAAGGTTAGAAATGCTTGTGGCGACCGTCGATCCTCCTGGAACATGGTGTATTCATGAGGGCCACCCAGAGCTTCGATGCATATGCCTGGGCAGGATTTTTTGGAGGAGTGGAGGCTGCCCAGACCTTCCATCATCCCTTTAGGCCCCTGAGACAGAATCCAAAGACCAGACTGAGTTTGGATGTTTGGTGTCTCCATGGCTGTAATTGTATGCGTCTGGGAATCGAACCCAGGTAGAAATGCTTGTATTCCGTGGTAAAAGTCAATGCCAGAGTAGTTCTTTTCATTATAATTCAAGGCTGACAGTAGGACTTGTGCATTGATCTAATCACCCCAATTACTGAAAGTTGTTGTGGTGTGTGAGGGCCTTACAAAAAAATAGCAATGCCTCCACATGGCTAAGCATCATGGTCTCCAGTTGTTTTGGGGAGATACAAGTGTACCACCACTGCCAGAAGGGGCTATTTTACATTCAGTGATTGGCAAGTTGCATTTCTATCATTTGCATCCCTCCAGCAAAAGGAGAGAGAATTCTTGTTGGGTGTTGGATGAGAAGTATCATTCAGTCTCAAAGTACTTCATAAAAGGTCAGTTTTATTATTTCTATTTTACACGGAGAGGGAAAATGACTTTCTAAAGATCACCCTACAAGCCTGTGGTAGAGGTCGATATAGCATCGTTGTCTTGTCATCATCCTGTGCTTTCTTCTCGCTATGCCAAGCTGGTTCCCCTTGAAATAATGGAACAAATTCTGCTGTTACAATGGTGTTTTGTTTGATTTTTCCAAAATTATTCCAGACTTGCACTTTACGGCTGAGAGCTAGAATTTGTCTTAATTTCCCATGTGCCTCCAAAAAGCCAACAATTTGTCTGTTGAATCAGCTTGGATACAGCCTGGGGCTGTAGCATTTTTTTAAAATATGGGACACCTGTCATATGAATTTAAAATCTATGTAAATCTGGTGAAAGCTGAAGAGTATCACAGCTTGAACAAAAATGAATTCCGCAGTCAAGAGCTTGTTTACAGACAAGCATTCCAGGGGCATGTTAATAGCAAGGATGCCAGGATTCGATTAAAAAAAATTACGGCACAGTCTTTGAAACAAGTCAGATATGTTTGCTGTATTTGTTTAATGTGCACGGGCAGCAGGCTAAGGATTTTTGTGATGAAGACTGACTGGCAGCTAATTTTAGTTCTGTGAGTGATGACACATGTTTGTTTGCTCTCTTGCACAAAAAAGTTTATTATATTACACATCTAACAATTCAGTACTTTAAAAAGAGAGGAAAATGTGGCCAAACCCCTGATTGTGTGCTTAAGGCATGCAGACAGTTTTAAGCAATGAAGGAGCCTTGCTGATCTCTGTAGAGCTATTTATATAAGAGTTTTACAAGGACAGGACTTCAGAGAGTTTGTGCACATGCTCTCAAACTGCATTCTCATTAATAATATGAAAACACTATTAATCTAATACTTTTTAAGCCATCAAACAAACAAACAAAGAAATTACTTCCATCTCCAGCAAAACTTAAATGCTTTCTATAATGATAGGAGCCAAAGCATTGTCGGTGGTCCTTTGAATTGGAAGATGACCATGACATCAGTTGGTTTGGTTTCTATGAACACGTGAATGGCTGATCAGGCCAATTTGTGCTTTGAACTTTCTGTGGCACATTGAGCCAGAGATGCTGCTTTGAGTTGCTTGGTCAACAGCAGACATGCTGCTGTTGTGAGATTTACACTGTTTGCGGTTCTGCTCTGCCTCAGCAGTTCTTCTCTGCTCACAGATGGTAGCTCCTTATGAGGCTTTGCCAGGTGGAAAGATCATGAGCGAGATCTTCCCAAGACTTAGGGTCAATGTTGAAATGTTTCAAGGATGACTTGAGGGAGTCCTTGAAGTGTTTACTTTCTTCTGGTCTCCCTGAGCACACTTTCCTTTAGCGCATCGTAAAAGATCTTTGGCAGTTGTTCATCTGACCTCTAGAGCTATATTGAATGAAAACATAGAATGAGGCTGACTAAACATCAATTCAAAGTCCTCTGAAGTCACTGGGACTCTTTCCATTGGCTTCATTTGACTCAGTACCGTACCTAGAATCCTGGCTGCCCCAGGTGAACTTTTATTATGGGGTCCCGCTTCGCCAGAGATAATGATTGCAATTGTAATTTTGTAATTTTTTTTTTCATTTTCAGGCCCCCTTCCTGTCCGGGTTTTGGGCGGCCAAC